GGGGGGCTTATCAAAGTGGCTTTGGATATATTTAGTATAAGGCAAGGAAAGGTACCAAGGAGGCTGCTGGATGTGTAGCATTCACTCGTTCTTGCTTTAGAAGGCTGCCTTTGGAGGCAGGAATCCTAGGTTAAAGTTCTAGTACCTTTCTGGCTAGAAAAGAATTTCACCTGGGGCCTGGCATGTACATTCTCTGAGCCCATCTGGAAAATGCTGACAGTAATGCCTACCCTAAATTAGTTGGTCCTAAAATAAATGATCTCCGTTTATACTAACGGAAAAGATGAAAACGAAAGCCAAATGGAAAATGCACTGGAAATGGAATGTTTTTAACTCAGGGGCAAAGTGACCTGGTGTTATATGAAAAAAGCACAGCAAAAACTAACTCATGAACGCTGTGCTAAAGAAGGCATGGAGCTGCCCAGGACAAACAACAGGTATGGATTTATTACTTCCTCTCCACTTCTCAAAAGATAAGACCATGCATGGTGTTGGGCAGTCCAGCTATAGAGCAGGATCTCTTCTACCTCTACCTTAACAATGCCCCATTCCCATTGCTGTTTTCCAGGAAAAAATACTTCATTTGGGGATAGGTTGGGATGGTGGGGGTTGAGTGAAGAGAAATGAGAAGACCTGTATAGAACAGTGTTTACCTACATATATTTTGGCATCAGGTGGCCTGGATTTGAATGTTGGCTCTGTCATTCACTAGATATTTCATCTTCGCCGGGTTCTTCTAAGTCCCTAAGTTTTTGTTTCCTGATATAACAAATACGGATAATGATAGGAACTCCTTCACAGGTACCATTATTTTGACGGTTAGATGAGATAATCTGTGTAAAGCACTTAGCATAGTTCCTGCCCAAGAGTAAGAGTTTGGAAAATGGTACTTTTCATTATGAATAGTAGAAATAATAATGAGTGAACTCTATATCTCAGGTCTCATTAAAAATGAGTCTTCTTCCCTCTCTTTTTGTGTCTGCCTGATATGGGGCCCAACAAAACATGTGCCACACATTAGCACAAGTACACACTGACCTTGGCTTTAGACAAAGATTTTGGGTCTTCTTCCTAAAACTGTAAACTATGCTACTGCGTATGTGAGGACCTAGTGTTTATTCCATGGAGAATTGACAACATGGATTAATTTGCCGTATAGGAAATAGCAGGTGGGAATGGCTCAACATAAAGACAGCAGTGGAGAAGAGGTACAGTGTCATTCAGAAAGGAGAGTGGTGTTGGCTTTGAGGGAAAGTGTATTTCTTAAAATAAAGGGCCAAGCTTGTAACTGCTAAAAACTGCAAATCACTGGGGAGGCAGAAGCCAAGTATACATGCTTTGTGGTTGTCAATTTCCCAGTCTTCTGACTGTAACTTTGCTCTTGATCTGCCGGACCAGACAGAAAAAACAATGGCCTCGATGTTAGAGAAATGGTTCTGGTATTGTGTATTTGGGTACAAAGGGAGCAAAATAGAAAAGAGAAAAACAGAAAGGGAAAGAACTCTTTCACCGCAGAGTGATCAAAAATGTAAGCCTGGTGTAAAGCTAAGGGGCAGATACTTAGACGGGCAGTTGTCACTCAAAAGCCCTGTCAAATCCCCCCTCACGACATCTTTTTCCCCTTTATTCTTTTGATCTTCACTCCTTCTCCTCTCTCTCTTGCCATTTCCCTCTCACAACCCTGGGAGATCTTCAGGTTTACAGGCTGGTTGGGTAAGCAAAGCACACACGAGTGCAAGTATGTGCAATACACGAACAGATGCAAATTGAAGTGGTGTATGAGAATCTAAATATGAAAATGCTGAGGGACCAGAGGTGGTTGGGACCTCTTTCTGTTTCCTTTCTGTTGTCTGCAGAGTCACTCTCCTCCCTGCCTGCTCACAAAACAGTGTGTCTAAATCCTGTCCCCATGTTCCTGGAGTGCCTAGCCGAGAAGGGACTCTTCTCTTCACTATACCTTGTTCCTTTGTGTGAGCTAGTGCTCTGAGGCTGTGGATGAGGGTAGAAATGTAACACACTGTTCGGCATTTGCTTCTTTTTTCATTTTCACTTGACAGGGTTTCCTTTTAGGTTAGTTTTAGGGTTATTCCAAGAAACGCAGTTCTCTGAGTCAAGCCTTGGGTTATTGTCATCCAGGTTTCCATCATTTGACGCTATTGGATCCCACAGTGCTTCAGACTGTGAGACTTTAATGTGTCTGAAATGTGTAGTTGTTAGGATGAGTTCTAAAAAGTACAATATGGCTTTAATTTCCCAGATTACAACAAAAGCCTTGGGGGCGGTTAATGTTGTTGTTAGAAGCAGTAGGAGGAGAAGAAGGAGGAAAGGTAGTAGAAGGAGGAGGAGGTGTGGTAATAGAAGTAGTATAGACTATAATAACAGAGTAATAGTACCGGTAATAGAATGGAATAATCTGGATAATATAATCTTGATAATCTCAGTCTAACTACATGCTACTACCCTGTCTAAAGGCATAGTGTGTTCTTTGACCTTTTTTTCCCAGTTTTATTGAGATATAATTGACATATTGTATTCATTTTAGGTATACAACATGATGATTTGATATATGTATATATTGTAAAATGATCACCACAGTAAGTTGCGTTAACATCCATCACTTCACACAGTTAAAATTTTTTTCTTATGATGAGAACCCTTAAGATGTGCTCTTTTAGCAACTTTTAAACACTTTTATTTTTTTTTTTGCGGTACGCGGGCCTCTCACTGTTGTGGCCTCTCCCGTTGCGGAGCACAGGCTCCGGACGCACAGGCTCAGCGGCCATGGCTCACGGGCCCAGCCGCTCCGCGGCATGTGGGATCTTCCCGGACCGGGGCACGAACCCGTGTCCCCTGCATCGGCTGGCGGACTCTCAACCACTGTGCCACCAGGGAAGCCCTTTTAAACACATTTTTAACTTTAGTTACCATGCTGTACATTACATCCCCAGAATTTATTTATTTTATAACTGGAAGCTTGTACCTTTTGGCCACTTTCACTCATTTTGCCTACTCCCCACCACCTGCCTCTGACCAGTCTGTTCCCTTTTAATCTGAAGGCTGTCTTACATTTCTTATTTTTCTTTTCCAATGCATTTGTTGAGCAAATTTGATTATTTGTCCTGTAGAATTACCCACAGCCTGGGTTTTGCTTTTCACATCTCATGGTATCTCCATGTTCCTCTTTCACCTTTTAGTTAGGTATACAGATTTGATCACAGTTATTTTTATTTTCTGGCAAGAGTATTTCATAGATGATGTTGTGTAGTTACATCAGAGCTACATAATGTCTGATTGTGTGATGTTAACAGCCACTGATGGGTATTGCCTAGATCCATTCGTTCATTATGGGCTGCCAAAGAGTGATGTTCTAATTCTATCATTCCTTCATTTATCAGCTGCAGTATTCTTATAAAGAGAAATTCCTCCCATGAACCAATTATTTACTACATGTACAATTTGTATAAGAAAAGCAGAATAGACACTTGGTTCTTTCCCTTTATTTACCAGATTTAAAAATGAGTTGGTTCACTAGCATTCTTAGGTCACAAATAAGTATTTGTGTTAAGTATCAAGAATTTATATGAATTTAAACATACTAATGAGTTTTAATTCATTATAATTATTATCCTTATTAGGCTGAAAATGTCCCACATATAAAATCTATTAACCATTTATAATATAAATTGCAAATATTTTGTTTGTCCTCTGTCCATACTTTCTTATCCTACTGTTTACAATGCAGCATAATTCTTACATTTATGACATAAAATATATCACTTTTTTTCCTTATTGGTTCTAATTTTGAGTCATAGTTAAGAAAAGTTTTCCCCATTCCCAGATTATACAGAAATTCACTCATGTTATTTCTCACACTTGCATGTTTTTTTAAATTAGCATTTAAATTTGTGATGTTAGGTTTCTAGTGTTAAAAATTGTAACTAAATATATTTTTTTATGATTTCTAATACTTTTCTTTCTGTATTTCCTACTTTTTTTCCTTCCTGTGGTTCAGTTTAGAAATTTTCTATTGACCTATTTTCCAATTCACGAATCTTATTTTTCTTGGTATCCAGTAAGTTTTCAATCTCATCAAATTCATTCTTAATTTCTGATGTTATATTTTTAAGTTATTGGTTTTTTTAGATTTTTAATTCTTTGATGAAATTGTTCATCTTTTCATGTAGTT